ACCCCCAAAGCCAGGCAGGAGCCCAGCAGTGGCTCCTGTACCCACACACTGGGCTGGTGCAGAGGCTACGGCCCACACCGGCAAAATTTTGCTGTACCCTGGCAAAATAATGCGTGGCCGTATGGTTAGAAATGCTGCTGTTTTGCTGCAGCAGGTTTTCTTCCTTGGTGCATGGCTCCTTTGAACAGAAGTCACCCTTGCTTGGGCTGGAGGAAACTGGTTACAATTACTAAATTGTCTTTTAAAAAAAATCCTCTCATTAGCAATTGGGCAGGTGCCTGCACAGGGGCCTCTGGGGTATATATTTGTATGCAAATATTGGCCACAGGGCAATATTTATGCTCCTCTCCTATCTCAAGCACTTTCCTACCCCTGCCAATGGATCATTCTACTAATTTTTATCTCTGCTGCACTTATTGTACCATGCCCACAACATGTTTGTATTTTCACACAGACACCGAGGGGACATTATCTGGGAAGGGTCGACAGGGAAACACACAGCTGTAAGGACAGATTTCGGAAGATGATTTACCTTTTTCCTCAATGTGTTACAACGAGTCCCCAGTGAGCCGTGGTCAGCCTGTAGCCTTTTCCTCTGGGATCAACCAGTGGGGAGGATCTGGGCATCTTCTTCACTTATTTATTTATTTAAACTTTAATGCCCCTTCCTTGGAGGCGACTTTTCTGCTATCCATCTACAGCGTTTTTCCTTCAAAATCTTCCTCCTGACAGCATCTCAGCAACAGGACCGCTGTTTCTTCACATCCTGATGAAGAACTTGCAGAGGTATGTTTGCAAATGCCTTTTGCACACATGAAATGCTGTAGCATCAGGGGAGCTCACATAAAAACCAACTACAGCACTCACTCTTCCCTTTGACTGGTCTTTGTCTTCAAACAACTGTAAAAGAGGGCAATCAATATAACTTGCCAGGGTCTTTTTAATGCTTCCTGAGCCATTATGGTCATAATGCTTCTTCAGGCTGCTGTATCGATACATTTGAGACACTGAACATGTCAAAACCACATAAAATCTTTATTAAGGTGAAATTAAATGAGCAAGCCCAAATCAGTAACTTAAATGGATATTATCCTTCAAGGATGCCAGACCTAAAAAACAGACACAGCTGAAAAATCCAGGGCATTTGAAGTTAGGATTAAATTAATGAGAAACTCAAACTGTTGACACAGAGCCTGGGCAGGAGGAATTTAGGAGGTCAGGAATTGCTGCTATGGTGCACTGGACACCTGCCCTATGTTTTTTATTGCAGCATTGGCCTGAGCTAAAAAAGTGCAGAGAATCTGGGGCAGGCAGGAGGAAAACAGTTATTGGCATGAATGTTCAGTCTCCCTCCGCTCAACAAATTAACCCAGACTGAACAAAAGAAAAAAAAAAAAAACCAATGTACTTATTTGCATGAGGTCCGAGGTGACAGTGCATGGGGCTGCACTGGGTGGCTCCAGGATGCATGGCACCCCGCAGGGAGGGCATAGGGGTTTCGCAAGGGAGGGAATGGAGAACCTTTCTACCCTGCCCAGTTAAAAACAACCTGGCTGCCTCCATCCCTCGCCGCTGTCCGGCTCGGTGCCTGTTGCAGCAGAGCGGTGCACACAGTGCACACAAGCACATGGTGCGCTTGGGGAGGGAATCAGAGCAGTGCAGGTTAGGAGGCAAATCATCCCCCTGCTCCGCTGCCAGCAGGACAGCATCTCTCTGCCTCCTGCCGTGGCTTCCCCGCAGGCCAGGCAGCTTCTGCCCCACCACACCTTCCCGGGGTTACTTTAGGAGGTGATGCTCTCAGATACTCGCAAAGCAGCCAGCGGGTGTTGGGTTGGGGCTTGCTGCTCCCCGGCCATGCAAGAGCAGCCGTGCCCCGGGGCTGCCAGGGAGCCTGTGCCCTGTGATGGACCAGGGTGGGAGTGGTAATTAAACCTCAGGAAAAAGGAGCAGATGCTGGGCTGGGAGAGCAGCCTGTCCCCAGGCACCCTGCTCCTGGCGTGTGGTTGGTAAAGGCTCACACTGCAGAGAGCTGGCCTGCCCACAGGGCCATCCTTGTGCTGCAATCCCCTGGGGGGTGTCTTTATTTTCCCAAACCCTCCCAAGCCCTTTCGGACCCTGCAAAGACACCAGGGCCGTGCCCATGCAGAGAATCTGGCTGCAGGACTGCAGAGGTCTTTCAGCTCCGTGCCTGACGCCACCCACTCTCCTCCCAGCCTTGCACAGGGCAGCATCAGATATTTTCACCTGCCAAAAGGAGACCATCAGAGGATGAGCAGGACCTGTGAGAGCTGCCAGGACCCCGGGAAAGAAAAGCTACAGCTTGCACCCTACTCACCTCGCTGTTGCCCTTGGCTGTGCTTGTGCTGTTGCGTGCTGGATGCGAGCTCCTGGGAGGGTAAAATGTCTGGTGATTCAGCCCGAGGCAGTGAGAAGGGTGGAGGTACCACAGGTACCACGGGGCTGTTGGGACACAAGAGCTGGGTCCAGGCTCTTCTCACAGATGGTGTTGGGCATGCAGCAGCCCAAGCCCATTGCTGCCTCTTCATCCAAATGTTTGGCAGGGGGACCAGCCTCAAGGAAGGCTCAGAGAGGCTCAGGTTTTGCATCTCCAGAGAGTGCCATTGCTCTGGTGTCCCATACAAGCTACGGGGTGGTCCTGGCTCCTTCAGGGGCTGTCGCTTGGTTTGGAAGGAGGTGTTCACCTCAGCACTGCCCAGCGAGTGGGTAACTGGTCAGACAGCACCAGTTAGGCCCCCAAAGCACCATTGGCTTCTCCTTGTGCCCGTGGCCTGTTTTCAAATGACAGCGAGGGATGCCGCCCTCATGGGTTTTCCACTGAAAGACTGGGAATTTGTGTCCCTTCTTCTGCATTATTTTCGTGCTGCTTTTGATTCAGCAGGTGGGAGTCTATACTTTTGCAGGAGGATTTCCAGTTTCACAAAGGAGCTCTTTTGCCAACACACCTTCTCAGCAGAAAGCTGAAAAGCTGCTCAGCCCCAGCCTATTTAGTTTTAATTGTTTCCTTTAGTTTTCATCACCCGCAGCAAAATATCACCTTCCCCTACCAAACAGCCAGGTTGGGAGCCAGTCACCTTGCGCAGCCACAGCCAAAATGCCGTCCCTCCTGCTGGTCCCACGGCTCCCAGGGGTCTTGTCTCTGCTGGGCAGGGCTGGATTTCGGGGCGGTGGCAGCGGTGGCTTGCATTGCTCTCAGCAAGCACCAGGCAAGGCACAGCCGCAGCGCTGCCATTGCTGAGCTGTCTCCATGTCTCCGAGGTCTTTGCCGGCTGTCCTGGCTCTCCCCTCTGCTCACAGAGACCCACCACGCCACCTTTCCTAGCTATCTCTCCTCTCTTCCACTTCCCAGCCTTCCTCCGGCGGCTGCTGTGGAGGGGCCGGCTCGTAACACTTGCTTCCGCTACGGCTTTGAAAAGGAAGAGTTGTGTTGCTGAGTAAGAAACATGATGCACACAGAGCCCCTGAGGGATGTTGAACAGCAGAAGATGAGAAGAGTCTCTCCTCCCCTCCTTCACCACAGGGCGGGCTTCGAGGACCCACGAGCTCGGGGGCATTAACGGGAATGATGCGGTGCTCCGCATCCCGGGTGAGCATCACCTCCTCCTCCCACTCCTGCCCCTGACGCCAAGGCCCAGGGCACCCCTCCTCCAAGGACACCCCCCTCCACAAAGATGACAACCCCATGTCAGCAGCGGAAAGCAGGGTCTTGCAGCCTCGGGGAAAAGGTTGTGGGGAGTCCTAAGCCTGCTCGGAGGTTCCAGCACCAGGGAGATAAAGCGCTATTCCCTTTCCCTGCAGGCTCCATCCGGGGAGCACAGCCAGACATCCCCCCAGGCAACCTTGGCAACAGATCAGGCTCAAGGGAGTATCAACTTATTCCTGTATCAGGCTGAGACAGAACAAAAATGCACACAACAACCTGTCAGGGTAACCCCTGGATAATTTATCCCCAGGATAAAATACCACCGTGGGTGCAGCCTGATGCTGGGCGCTGCCCGAGCCGGCGCGTCCCAGCCCTGGGCTGCGCAGCACCGCGCCAGAGCCGGCAGCACCGCGCTTCCAGCACCTCAGGTGTTCCTCTGCTCAGTTCTGGGGAAGAGCTATAAAACAAAGTCTCACAAATTAATTACCTAAAAGAGTGGCAGAATGTTATTAGATACTTGGGAGTTAATTGTACTGATGTTAATCGCATGTATTTTAACGGCACCAGTAGAGATGTAATATGTAATTCCATAGGTATTCCAGAATAATTTAGCAATTTAATTAATTTCTGCTAATACCTTTTAAATCACCTGCCCTCTTCCCTTCATGTTCTCTGAGGGAAAGGAGAAAGAAACTTTTCCAGTTGGCTAACTCTATTGCAAATCCACTTTTGTTGCCATAGATATTTCTCAGCCGATTTATTCCTGGTAGAGAAACCCCCCAAAGTCAACCCTGGGTGACAGGGTGGCCAAACAGGGCTCTGATTGCCTGGTCCTAAATTTGGAAGGCTGATCAGGGCTGGGTGACGTGTTTTGGACAGATCATGATGGGCTGAAAAGATGGAGACTAAAGCAATTCGTGGATTTAGGTCAAATTTGGTGAGCGGAGCCAGGAGAAAATGTGGAAGAGAAATGTAAACAGCATCAGCTATTTTATTCTGTCTCCACAAAATGAAATGTTTGGTTTAGAAATAGCAAAAATATCCCATTTCAGCATGTCTGAGATGCAGCCTTTCTGCTTGTCTCCTTGTGCCTCCCCTGAGGTGCAGGCAGCTGAGTGGTGCCCAATGCCTGGGGCAGCATTTCCGCTGGAAAAATGATTTATTTTGCTTTCTGCGCCCACCGCTCCACGAGTGCAGGGCACAGCACCTCGGGGCAGCACTTGAGGGTCCAGGGGAGGTGGATACAGGAGGAGACAAGTGATTTGGGCCATAGGGGAGCTGCTCCCCAGGTTTCCCCCCTCCCTCCCCATGCTGGCAGAAAAGAGACCACCAGAAGCCATTGCTCTCACGGGGCTTTTATTGTCCGGCTGGCCCTCGCCTCCCGCCCCGCTGCCCACGGCCAGCCGAGCCCCTCGCCACCACAGATGCCAGGGAGGAGACCCGTGCCCACCCCCGAGCCCAGCCGCCTGCCCGGGGCAGCACATCCTTCCCGGTTCTTTTTTGGGTGGTGGTTTGTTTTTGTTTGGGTTGTTTGGTTGGTTGTTTTTTTTTTTTTTTGTTTGTTTTTTTAATATTTTATTTTAAAAATATAGTAGCTGTGGAAAGCAGCCCTCTTTATAAACGCTCGATGCCGGAGTGAAATGCATCGTCACCATCCTTATTATTAAGCCCTCCTGGGTGCCTGAGCCTGCCTGCAGCAGCGCTGGTGGGGCCAGGGAAGCTGCACGAGCTGCTGCAGGCGGGGAGGCTTGCAACGGCAGGGGAAGAGACAGAGAGACCCTTCTAAAAATAGAAATATTGTGCTGAGTTGTTTGGAGTGAATGAAATACATAAAACACCAGCATTAGATCAGCTTTAGCTCGTCAGACATTGCTCCCAGCAGAGTCGGCGTAGCGCGCTGGTGCAGGCGCAGTCCCCCTCGTCCCGGGGCTGGGGAGCCATGCCGGCCCCCGCAGGGCTTGCTGCAGGGCTTGCTGCTCTCGTCCACTGCCAACCGCAAGGACACCGGCCCCCGGGGCAGCCCGGGAGCTGTTATAAATAGGAAACTGTAAACACAACCATTGGAGATAAGAGACATCTACGATCACAGGGTTTACTGGTTCAAACGTCCCACCCTCCCCCCCCAACCCATACACCTATGCCCCTGTCCCCACTCCATAAAAAGGTCTCCGGTAACAAAATCTTCGTTCCAGGCTTGGAGTAAAGGTGAGGTGGTCAAGGAGTAAAAAGGGACATTGAAACCTTAGTGGTCTTTGCTCGGGGAGGGGGGGAGAAGGTGGCAGGAGGGAGAGAGGGGGTTAGCTGGTTCAGGTCCTTTGCAAGTTCATTTGGTTTGTCTGGAGGACTCCTAGGGTTATACCTGAGATGAAGACATCTAGGGGACACTCCATAGCTCAATTAAAACATGGTTGGTGTTCTGTGCCTAGAAGAGCCCTCGCTGCTGGGATTTGTTCGTCGCGCTCACCCCGCGCAGCAAGAGAGCAGCATCCCTCCTCCGCCTGGCACGGGGCTATCTGAACCAACGCTCGGCTGGGGGTGATCCCTCATGTGTCGAGGATCTCGCTGGTGGGCGACGGCTCGTGGGGGATGCCCTGTGCGCTGTGGATGGTCTGGTTGTGGGAGAGGGAGTTCTGCTGGAGCTCCAGGGCAATGGCGTTCTGGGGGAACTCCTTCACCTGCCGCTTGTACTCGAGGAAGGTGCACGCCTTGGTGGCGATCGCGATGATGTTCTTGCCAATAAAGATGGTGGAGACCCTGCTGTCCTGGAACAAGACCATGTTGATGGCCCGGATGAAGATGGTGACGATGTTAATAGTGACCAGGCTGAGGACGGGGTAGAGCATCATTTTTTGCGGGGCAATGTGCTCCCCTTGCATGCTGATCTCACTGAGGGACACACAAGGCAGGATCAGGAGGAGTATGTAGCAGTAGAAGAACATGAGCCCCTCTGCCCAGATGGGCAGGCCGGTCCTGTGCGGCTCCCACAGGTTGGCCTGGATGTCCAAGATATCCAGCAGGTCAAGGGCCACCCAGAAGAGGCGTCCCCGCAAGTCCTCTTTCTTCCGAAAGGTCCGTATGTACTCCATGCTGTCCAAGGCCACCAGCACCAGGTAGAGCCCCGGCACGCAGATGGAGAGGAGCAGGGTCAGGGCTTTCCTGGCCACCGTCTCCAGGTTCTTCTTGTCTGCTTTGTAATTCTGAAAGATGAAGTACAGCTTGATCTCCAGCACGAAGATGTAGAGGAACCACAGGATCATGGCATAGCCCCTCTTGGCTGTCTTCACCTCCGCCCCCACCCACACCGCCACGTAGCGCAGCACGATGAGGAAGCAGATGTCCCCCACCAGCACGATGATGCAGACGCCGATCTTGCGGGGCCCCTGGTTCTGCTCAACCAGGTAGGCGTCCATGAAGGCCATGCTGGTCATGATGACGATGGTGGTCAGGCAGACGTGGCGCTTGTCGGGCGGCGGCAGCACCATCGTGAGACGAGCGGCCCCCCCCCCCCCCCCGTCCGTGCCGGCACTAGGGGAGCAGTCCTGCCGGCGGGGCACGGGGGCACATCTGCAGCGAGCCTGGGGTCCAAGGGCTGCTCTGCCCCCCAGCCCCAGGAGGAGGTCCCTGGAGAAGCAGCGGCTCAGCTGGCAGCCCTGCTCTCCCGGGGCTCTGGGCAGCCTCTGTCCCCAGCTCTCTGCCCTTCGCTGGATGTGCCCTGAAAGCACCACGGCTCTGCCCCCAGCCCCAGGCAGCCTCTGCCACCAGCAGCCAGGGCTCACAGAGGCACTGGGCCTCCTCGAGGGATGTCCCTCCTCCGTGGCAGGTCCTCCATCGTCAGGGTCTCCAGCAATCCTACGGCACTAATGCACCTGCGGGCTCCGAGCCCCAAATCCCGGTACAGATCTCTGGAAACACAGTAGGCACCTGAGCAGCAGGCAGAGCTGGCCGGCTGGGAGGGTAAGGGACCTCTCCTCTTCCCAGTGAGACCCCACGCTCCTCCGGGGTCTGGGGGGGTCCTGCTGTGTCCTCACAGGGAGCCACCTTCACACCTATCCTCGCGGGGCCGTGCCGTGCTCCTGCTGCTCCCAGCTGTACACGCATCCCTCCATCCCTGGAAAAGATAGCCAAGAACGTGTGTTAGGGTCCCTCCATGTGCTGGCCATGGGACGGTGAGAACGACAGCCCCCCACAGCTCCCACCACACAGCGGCACGAGCCGGGCTCCCGCCAGCTACCGTCCCACCCCCAGGGCACCCACTGCCGAGCCCTGTGCATGGCTTAATGCAGAGCAGCTTCTTATGGAGGACGAACACTGCTGAGGGTGTCCTGCGTGGAAACATGGCGTGCTGCCCTTACACAGGCGCTCTCCCTCCAAAACTCCTCGGCGGGGTCAAGCCCTGGGTGCTCCTGCAGAGAAAGCAGGAGCACAACCCAGGTGGAGACAGGCAGATCCGTGAGCAGGGGTGAGGTGAGGGCTGGCACACGGGGCTCGGGCTGTCCCTGGCATGGCAGGGGGTAGCAAAGCTGTCCCCAGGGTGGTATGAGGTCCCAGCAGCTTTCTGTACTGGCTCAGCTGCTCACAGCCACAGCTCCTTCTTGCCAGACCGCGCTTGCATAATTCATTTGTTAATCATTTCTGTGCAGGGACCACACTCCCGGGAAGTGACTGGGTCCCAGTGCACTCAAGAGTACTATCAAGCTGCTTACACAGAGCGGAGAAGATGGATAACGATCACAGTCTGATATGCCTATCACACGCCAAGTGACAGCTAGCCCTACCGTGCATCACAGCTCCCTGGGAGCAAAGTGCTTGACCCCACAGACTCCCCTACAGATCACCCCATCATGTCCTGTGGAGCCTGGCCGCTGCGGCCGCGTCTGCCCGTGGATCCTCGTCTGTCACGCAACGCACGCTTCCCCAGCCCTCGGCACGGGTGGCTGGAAATGACAGCCTTGGAGAGAACACCTCTGGGGTGAGGCAGCCAGGCTGCTGGGTCTGCAAGCACTCCTCACCCAGCCTGCCAGGGTCAGGCTGAGCCTAAACCTGGATTTGGAGGGCTGTGAAGGTGCTGAGCTGAACCCTGCACATGGATGCAGTTTGGCTGGCCATCCCTTGGGGCTGAGGGGCATCCCTGCTTGCAGGAGGGGGACTAGGACTCAGGAAGAGCCCCGGGAGCTGTCAGAGGGACTCGGTGGCACTGCTTCTGGTCCCCACCGCCTGGCTTAATGAGGACACATGCAAACCTGGGCTACCTCATCTCTCAGGGAGAGAGGCCAAGATGGAGGCTGAAGGGAAGAAGCCAAGCCTAAGGAATTGTAAGCCATTAAAAACCTGCCCTACTTTGCACAGGGAAGTGTATTGCAGCTGCTTATGTTTATGGGGCCTCATTTAAATAAAATCTGGATTCTCTCCTGCTTCAGGGCGAGAAGAAGAACAAAGAAGAAAAAGTGGGAAGCCAGATGAGTCAGAGCCATGCCCAATGCGTGCTGAGTAGGTGGACACCAGGGATGCATGTACCTGTGCCCTGGTTCCCAAAGGATGTGGTAGGCGATGATGTGCTGCTCAGCAAACATTAGCAAAGGACTTAAAGACTCCTGCCCCGGCTGGAACCCCCACATTGCTCTTCTGAGTCCACTTCTAGACTCGTGCGCAGCAGGGAAAGCTGGCATGTTAAAATAATTTCTCAAGCAGGAATTGCTCAGAAAGAAACCAAAACGATGGGGAGGGATTCATGAGTAACCCTAAATGGTGCTTCCCAGGTAAAGCACTCACCGCAGCCCCGCTCTCACCAGCACGGCTCTTTGTGACGTCTTGTAGCTGCCGTTTTAGGGCTTCAATTTGTTCTTTCTTGAGGTTTCAGATAAAAATATACAGTCATTGCCGTAACTGCTTTCAAACTCATGCCAAGTTTTACAGGGGATTTATAGCCAAGGATGGATAATTCCAGATAAATTAGGTCTTTCAGGAGGGAATGGTGTTTTTCTTTTCCCTTTAAGTATTTATGCCTTCTAAAGACAGCAGTTATTTAAGGGGCAGTGGGTGCATCACAGCACGTAAAGGTTAGGAAGCAGATTGCCTGTAAATCATGCCCCCTTGCCCCTGGGTGTTACAGGTGCGGGTTGGGGAGCTGGGGGAAGGCGCATGCTCCCAGCCCAAGCTATCCTCATGCCTACATGAAAGCACACAGAAAAACCCCACCCTGTCTCTGGGTGAACACCCAGGGCAAGGGATGGTATTAATTCCTAGTATTTGCAACAACAGCAACTGGTGCTGAGCAGATGGTTTTCAGCAAAAAGTATGCTCAAACAGTGGATTCTTCTCTCCTGTCCACTCCTGAACGATTCGTGACAGCTTAGGATGGGTTTGATAAACGTTCATTTGTTACGGCGGCCTTTCAGAGCAGAGAAAGGGAATTGCGGGGCTGAGCAAAATCACAGGGCTCAAGTGCTGCTTTTGCTTGGGTTAAATCCTGTATTACCAGGGGTGAGCACCTCTCTTACCTTTTGCAAATACTTTCCAAGCATTCGCTGTGGTGCACGCTCTTTTTATTTTCCAACTGTGCCATAGCTGGTATTTTCCCCACCTCTTGTAGCCCCAGTGCTAAATGGAAATATGGAGGTCTCTTCCTATCTGTGGAGCAGAGCTTGCCTGTTTGACTGATGTGTGACCATCCTACCATGGAAGGGGCATGTAAAATTCTCCTCGGAGGACTATTAAAAAAGGCAGGTAGTTTTTAAACAACCATTACTCTGGGAAATCCTGATTCATCATTTTTAAATGACTGCATTTGACAGTAAATTCAGAAACCACTTGAGAAACGTGCTGGATAAACAAGAAAATGAGCATGTCAGATAGCCACAAGAGCATATCTGAGGCAAATATTTGTTTAGACAAGTATTCACAAAATTCATCTTCCTGCAGGAATTCTTGTAAATAAAGGGCAGCTCACCTGAATGTAATGAGTTCAGAGTGTTACAGATGCCAGTGAGCCAGGCTGGCAGCTTCCTATGGGAAGGGATTTAGCAGCCAGGTCTCCCAGGAGCCAGTATTGCAGCAATGCTTCAGTCTTGGCAACTGTGGGCCTCCTTACCGGGACAAAATTCAATCGCATGTTCTCCTCTACCACTCTCCTACGCGAACCACTCCGTTGCTTGCATCGGAGTGAGCAAATGCACTCTAGGACACCCACAGCAGCTCGCGATCAGCTGGCGAGATGCAGCCCGAGGGCAGTCTCCAGCTGCACCAGTGCAGACCGGCAGCGTGGCGTGGGGACAGGCGGCAGCAGCACGTTCCCACTCCATCTGCGGGGGGGCTTGCTTGGGGACACCCCATTTCCCAGGCCAGCCTGCCCCGTTCCACTGTCCCCCGCAGGGTGGGAGAGGCTGGGGTGGGAATGGGGGGAGGCTGCGATTTCCTGGAGAGATTTGGGGGTCCTGCAGGTGGGTTCAAACCCAACTGAAGTGCAGGGTTTAGACTCTCATCTCTGCCCTGCTTCCTCTGGCACCGAGGGAACAAGAGCAGCAGAGGTGCAACCAGCCCCTGCCCTTATTACTCTGGTGCCTCTGCTGTGGTTGGGGAGTTATTTCTTGGCCTCCTACGTGGTTTTCTCAGCCCTCCCAGCTGCTATAAAGCACCTGTGGTTACCCAAGGACTCGGGGTCACAGCCTGGCTTCACCATCAGCCCTGGCAGCTTGGAAGAAAATTAAACTGTGCTTTCCACCGCGACGCCGGTGGCTCGTTGAGGCGTGATTAATGACCACTAGCTCTGCCGTTACCGGCGCCTGCAACCCGCAGCCACCCATCCCCAGTGCCCTCCTGCATCCTCTCCCGCTCTGCTTGCTGCCCATGCCCCACATCACCCAGCGTGGCACCACCCGAGAGCCGTGTGGGTGCAGGGAGCTGCCAGCATCCCCGCGCGCCTGCACCAACCCCCATCTCCCACATCTGGGGAGCAAGTGGCCGCAGACAAGCCTGGAGGGCTTGTGGAGCCACTGTCAAAACACAGATTCATTAATGTCAGCAGGCGCTTCCCAAACCCTTGTTCTACCTGGCAAATTAGTTTAAATTATTTAAGTGATTTGAATTCTGTCTATAAATAAAAGAGGGAGCGAGCAAGGCAAAAGTATACACAACGTGCTTCCCAGGTAGTTAGAATGCCACATTGCTTAAAGCTTCATTTGCACTTTAATTGCTTTGATTTATTCCAGCTTTCCAGAGTGTAAATCTGAAGCTCCCCTTCACTTAGTCCTTCAGCCCTCTGAAGAGCTGCTGCTCCAAAAAGCCCATTCCCCAGCCGGCTGTGCCTGCTCCACCATACCCTGCGCCACCCTCGCACGCTTTTTGTGACCCGCTGAATTACTTCTGAGCTCTGTGCACCAGCTAAGGATGGGGTTTACAGGGAAAGCAAATTATCTGGCTGAGAAACTATAAATCATGTTGTCCCTGTGCCGTTGCGTTTTCCTGCCTCACCTTGCTGATAAGCGGTGCTGGCGGGTGTCTTGCTCAGCCTCACTGACCTGCAGGCTGGGATTTCAGCTGCCTCCCCACCCTGGGCAGTCCTGGGGGGGATGCTCATACCCTGGGGAATGGAGGTCACTTCTGGGCAGCAGTTACACGCTGCCTCCTCCCAGGCAGTACTGGCATCTCAAGTGCATCCTGTGAAGGAAATGAAATTGAGGAAGATTTTTCCAGACCCTGCCCACTAATTGTGTCTGAAGGAGGAAACAGCCCACTTGCTAATGATTACAGATAATTTACCATGTAGGCACATTGAGAAACAGGGAAGGAGCTGCAAACTGTTCCCTGAACCTGCCCAAAATAACCAATGCAGCAGGGCTGTCAGACAAAATCAGCTCCTGCTTATACCAGGGAGTGTATCGACTGCGCTCTCATGCTCCAAACCCCCTCAGTTCCCTTGGGGGGTTCATTTCACCACCGTTTCCCAAAAAGAAACCCAAGCAGAAAGTATCAGACCTGTTGCCCCAGTAGGAAAAAAAATAAAACCATTCTCTTGATCATCATTTTTGTGATGGGGCAGGGAACTGCTGCTTGCCCAAAGCAAAGCCCTGCGTGGGATGGATGGCATTTTGCATTCAGAGCCCTGTCCCTCGTGGCTGTCCTGGCCAGGGCTCTCCTGCCAATGCAGGCAGCTGTTGCTGCTGGGAACATCTCCCCATTCACAAACATGCTGAGTTTGATGATATTTGACAGACGTGTCAAAAAAGAAAAAAAAAAAAAAAAAAAAAAGGCTTTTCAGCTATTTTGGGTGTTTAAACATAGTGTTTAGAGAAGGTAAATGATTCATTTTGACTTGTACATAAAATGTTAAATTATACTATTATGTTTTGACACTACCAAAACATTTTACCGTTTTCCCAGCAAAACGTGCTGTTTCTGTAGAGGAATTGCTTGGCGTTTCCAAGTTGAGTGGATTTTCAAGATTTCATTCTGTTCTGGACCAAACCTCAGATTTAAAAGTGTCAAAATCCCCCACGGTTTGTTGGTTTGGGCTCACAAAACAGGGCACGTTTAGCAAACATCTGGTTGCGTGTGTGTTTGCCACAGTGGGAGATGCACGTGAAGCTCAGTGCCTGTGGCGTGCGAGACGGGTGCCCCCATCCTCTTCTCCCTCCTTCAGGCTCCCCGCACCCACTGTTCACCCTTCAGCAGAGCTTTCCCCCCTGGTCCTGGGGCTCTTCCTCTCTCTGCTACCTCAGGGGTCCTCCTGGACCTGCCTCACTTGTAGGGACCAGCTCCTCCTCTACCAAAGTCTATCAACATCTTCTCTGTGCCTCTGCCCTCCCAGGCTCCCCTCCTGCCCCAAAAATCGCTGTGCCCCGCATTGGCTCTCTTCCAGTGGTGATATGACTTGCCCCTGCCAGGAGAATGTGACCCAACTATACCCTTTTTTTCTTTTCCAGGCTCTTTTTCAAGACCCTGGGACCTGTCTCCTGCCTGAGGAACCATTTTGCTTTTGGACGAAGAAGCTGTGCCATCCTTGTGCGGGGGGCAAAGCACGTCACACAGGTGACAAGGCACTCGGTGCATGGGCACCCTCCTCCCCCAGGCACTGCTGGGCTGACAGTGCACCTGCAACCTGCATTTGCACAAGTCATCCCACTAAAACACAGCAATACACCACCAACTTCAACCTCTGCTGGTACCTTCCTGGATAGATAAGCCTAACCGAGCCAGTTGCCAAGATTCACCTGCAAGCAAACCCCAGAGCTTTGATTTTCTCTGTGCTACAAACAGACATAAATGCAAACACCAGGACCAAGCCAAGCCAGGAACATAAAACTTGGATCCTATTTCAGTAGCTCGAGGCTGTACTTTTGTATGTGAATCACTGTCAGGTCCTCAGACAACCTCACATCATCAGTATTAGGGGAAAGGAAAATATGGAGCCATCACAGAGTCCTCACACAGACGCTTTCCTCCACTGCCTGCTGGAAATTCTCACAGATGGAGAACAGAAAAGCTCCCTGCTCTTGATCATCCTTGTCCTCACTCCCCTGGGTGCTGGCAGGGAGGCACAAATTTTCCTGGGAGCACTGCTCTCAGCACCCCCACCCAATGCAACGGAGTGCTCTCAGCACTGCTCTGGCAGCATTAGGCACCCAAGAGCCAAGCAGCTCTGGCTGCCCTTCATCTCATCTAAGCATGATTGAGAGGGAGTCAGCTAATTAAAAGAAAATGGAAACTGGTGTGTGAAGCTGTAAGTAGGAGAGCGCTGGGAGTTTCCTGGTGCTAAAGTGTGCTTGCAGGGGGATGGGGCTGCCGAGAGCTCTGGGGCAGAACTTCAGCAACCTCCCAGGGAAGCAGGATCTGAGATCCCCAGGCATCTTCTATGTGTGAGAGAGCACTTAGGCAGGGATGATTCTGCAGTAGATGGCTGAAGGGATGAGGGGCTGGCTTGCACGCTTTCTTCTAGAGACCTGGGTGGAGTGGCACACACTGGTCTCTCTGACCCGGGGCCAGACTGGCTGTCAGACTAAAGGCAGTAGGTCAGGGACCTATCCTCTTACCTCCCCCTTCACCCACACAGTGTAAGGACAGTGGCCGATGCATATAAACCAGGGCAAGATCAAAAGGGAAGAGCTGGGAGGACAGAGGGGTCTGACTCTCAGGCTGCAATCCTGGAGACCCCTGCTACTTGATGCTGATGGTGTCAAGCACTTTCTGCATTCAGAGGCTTTTGGGAGGTGCTGTGGCAGCTCCCAGAGGAAGATCTGTGCTAGGGTGTAGGGACGGCAAGAATGATGATGTGTGTCCTGCTGCGAGGAGAAAGCTCCTCCCTGGCTCATCTTCCCCGAGCAAGCAGACAGCCTGGGTGCTGGAGGACAGGAGTTGGCTTCAGCATGGTGCAGGTGGGGAGGCACCTCTGGAGGCCAACCAGTTCGCCTGCCAGCCCCGAGAAACTGCTCCCACACAAAGCAGGGGGGCATCTCTGCCCTGCCCGGGAGCTGCCTCCGGCTGGTCCCTGCACCCGGGCAGCAATCAGAGAGAAGCAATTATGCCTGTTATTCCCTCTCTGCCCTGAGCATGGGGTTAGGAGAGGTGGGATGAGCCCAGCAGTATGTAGAGATTCAGCTGGGCAGTCTGCTGCCGCTGCCATCAGTCTGGCCTTTGATTAAGAGTGATTGTTCTGCTCTTAATTAACAGAAGGCAGCTGCTGGCCACTCGGGAGGAATGGAGGAGCAGAGCCCAGTGACTGTGATAAAAGGAGAGGGTGTCTGCTGGCTCCTGCTGAGCCTGGCAAGGCTGCCCTGTCCACAGCCATGCACTCGGACTTGCACATGGTACTACCTCCAAATCTCACAAGGGAACCCAAACCCAGAGGGGGGGGAACTCCCCCTCTCTTGCAATGCCAGGATGCAGCTGCTGTGTGAACTAGCAGCAGCGATGCGGGGAGGGAATCCAGCTAATCCCTGGAGTAATTTTGCTGCTGTCTGTTCTCCCAAGCCACCTTGAGGTGGTACTGCTGGCAATGCCTGGCTGGCTCCCACAGGGTTTATTCCCCCATCTACTCCTCAGAGACCTTCCCGAGACAGAGGCTCTCCTGTGACACCCGGCGTGCTGCTCTCCCAGGTCTGTCAGCCATCTGCCCGGCACGGGGCGATGGGCTCCCCCAAGAACAGGCGTGGAGCTGCTCAGCCTGCTGCTTTTGCAGCTGAGCCAGTTCCCCATGAGATGAGAAGGCATTTTTGCTCCCCACTGAAGTGATCTGTGAGCAGGCATCAGGGCATAGGTGTATCCCAGTAAAAGCTGCAACAAGAACATCACACCTTTTTTCCGAGTTCACGTGCCGCAGAGCTCGCATCAAGTCTCGGTAATGCAGGGACAGCAAGCAAGGAAAAAAACAGTGAGTGACTTGCAAAATCAAGGAACCTTTGCCTTGCCACACCCTTGGTGAATTTATTTTGGCAAGGCTAGTCCAATGTTAATTATTGGTGGCAATATCTCCCTGCCAGTCGTCATAAAATCTTAGCAGGATGAGAACTACCAGTGGTGCATCTTCTACCAGACAACTATTAACTTGTCTGGTCTTAAATCACACTTGAGTCATGGTTGGGGGTTGGTGGTGTCAGAGCTGGAGATGGGCCTCGGTGGACTCTGCTCTACATTTGCTCTCCATCATTTAAGTCCATGCCACCGCCAGATCCCTCTGGAACAGGTGCTCTGCAGGACAGTGTGCTGGTGGGCCAGAGTGCTCGTTAGGCTCCGGAGGTGCTGTGGTTTGAGCCTGGTCAGCAGCCAAACCCCACGCAGCCACTTTCTCCCCCTTCTCTTCCTGCAGCGACCCAGGACAGGAGGACAGCAGGTACCTGTGGTTGGCCCTTCATGGCTCAGGGTCACCCTCCCCATCCTGTGTGTGCCTCAGCCTCTGGGGTGGGGGCAATGCCGGCATCTGCTGCTCTGACATCACTTGGGAGATAAACATTTCACCCAGCTCGGTGCAGTGCAAGAAGAATAATGCCAGCCCAGAGGTCACCAGGGAGACATTTCTCTTCCTCTGGTTTCCAGCCTTCCTTCTACCAGCCATCTAATAAATCTAATAAAATCTGTCTTTCTGGTGTCTAATTTGATTCCAGCACCCAGAGACCAGGCTTCTTATATCACTCACAGACCTAACCAGCTACATCCTTGGCGTACGAGCCAGGCCAAGGGGCTGCTGCAGGCTGCTCCAGAAGAGAGCAATTACCTGGAATCAGAACTTGCTCTCCGAATCAATTACATGTTTATAGGTTTTCCTTGGGTCGCACCTAATTGAATTATTTAGATGCTTGAACACCATGATCAGAGGCAGCTGATGACTTCCAGACTGAAGTCTGGGCACTAAGTGCGGTGCCTTGCATTTTATCTCAGGGACAACTCTCCACAGCACCTCCTGTTTACACCCTCACGCAGCACTCTGCAATCTGTAGTGTGTTCAGTCTCATGCCATCTCCAGCGAGCAGCTGGGCTTCGGCTCCTGCTCTAAAGGTGAAGGACTTCCAAGGTCGTACAGAGAGTCGTGACCAAGACCAGTTCCCCAGTTTACAGCACCTGGAAGCACATGGGCAGGAGGGTGGCTCTGCTCCATGGAGCATCTTCTGGTCCCTGCCCCCGGTGGCTGCAGGGTCCCATTTCAGCAGAGCTTGGAGGCTCACAGA